TGCTTCTCCATTTGAAAATAAGAACTTTCACACATGGTCATGCTTAATGTCTGTCGCATTGATTTCGAAGAACAAGGAAAAAATCATTGACAATACATTTTCGGAACCAGATGTCTTCGGATCCTCTATCTGCTCAGTTGGTTCGTTACAACGCCATGGTTCTTTCATGGATTCAGCGATTAATTTTTTATTCGATTGCAAAGTTTGTTCTACAAATTCACGTTGTATCGGGTGTTTGGAAGAATCTTTGAATTAGGCTTTCACAGAGAAATATCTTTCGCATCTCAAACATCCAAGAAAAATTGTATCGCTTCCACCAAGGTACTCTTGATGCATTCAAATACTTTACTCAATTGAAAGTGTTTTGGGATGGCTATTCATTTGCATGTTCTTGTGGTGCTATTGATTCTGCTAAGACTATCGTGAACAAGACTATTAGCATGTTTGGATTGACTTTTGGAAGGCTCATAATCAATTCTAGAGATCTGGAATTGATTCTAGGTGATTTTGAGTTTGTTTTATCAAAAGTAGAATTGATTCTACTTGAAGCTAGAATTTGCAGCTTCTATATCCAGAATTGATTCTAGGTGATTTTTACACTAAATTTTTATTGTTTAACTCACTTTTACATAAATGTATCCAAACATAAATCAAGTCTGCTAAAATCAATTATGTTAAAAATCAATTATACCAAACTCTTACTAGAATCAGTTATGTTCGCCGCCAATCCAAACACACCCTATGTAATTCGATTCTTGAAACGCCTTTCCCACTCTAAGTATAAGGTCATGATGATGAATGTGCTACTTGATATTGACAAGGTCTTCTCCTTGATTATTCAATAAGAACGTGAATTGAACACGAGTATATCCATCGAATCTACTGAATCCACTGTTGTTACCCTTCATATCAATGCTCAAAATCCTTTTTACGGTAAGGGTAATGGTTTTCACAAAGGGAAAGGATTTTAATCTTCTAAAGGGGTTAACAAGATCTACACCCATTGCAAGAGAACTAATCACACTGTGGACATTTGCTTCTTGAAGCATGGGCATCCACCGGGCTATAGACAAAGAGTAAAGGCTCCTAATTTTGGATAGATTTCTTCTCAAGCCAACAATACTTCACACAACAGCCATGCTACTACATAGGGTTCGTCATGCTCTTTTTATGGTTTTACTCAAGAAGAGTTTCAAATAACTTGTGCACTTCTTCAACAGTCGAAACTTGTACTTGTTGCCAACTCAATAACTATATCTCCTTTTGTCATAAACTCTCATTCCTCCACAAACTCGGGTAAGCACAATTCTCTTTGGATTTTAGACACATGTGCCACTAATCACTTCACATTTAACCTTGATTTGTTCACTTCTTTTCACAACATTGTACCTATCTATGTGTCATTACCTGATGGCTCTCACATGACTGCTTACATTTCTGGTCATGTTGATATTTCCCCCACCATCACTTTACAAAATGTATTCTGATCATGGCGTTATATATGAATCAAATTATTAATTTGATATGGATGTTATTTGAATATCTGTTATGTCTAAACTCTAGACATAGATTTAGGTTTAAAATTCACGTGAGTATCAATTCTTAATGCTCTCTGTTAGTTTTGTTGCGTGAGACATCATCGATGAGACAATAAGGTTAGTCTCTCGACTTTGTGTAAGACATAACCTCTGTTGTAGGTGATAAGTGACGGTATTAGACGAACGTTTGAGTTGTGTATAACAAGATCAGAAGAATGCATGTGTTATCAATTGATGATATCCAATTCCAATAAGGCTCCGTTTATATTTCAGTCTTTACTTTATATTTCCCGTCTTTATATTTTTTGCCTTTATTTATGGTCCTTTGATCTTTTAACCAATTTAATCAAAACAAACTAAGAAATGTAGAAACCGTTGAACGGCGTTCTTTCCCTCGTAATGATCCTTGTGGAGACGATATAAATCCCGGATGGAATCCTTCCAAAACTAATTTTCTTCTTCTTTCTGTTTTACTGCAGTTCGAACAGAAAAATGCAATGAATGCTGAGATAACTGCTCTTAAGGATAATCATACTTGGACCCTTGTGGATCTTCTTGCAAGTAAAACTGTATTTGGATGTAAATGGGTCTACAAGGTCAAATATCATGCAAATGGCTCCATAGAGAGATACAGGGCCAAATTAGTAGCTAAGGGCTACACTTAGTTAGAGAGTGTTGATTACTTTGATACATTTTCTCCTATTTATAAAACCACTACTGTTAGGATTTTATTGTCTCTTGCAACTATCAGACATTGACACCTTGAGCAGCTTGGTGTCAACAATACTTTCCTTCATGGAGACCTCAATGAGGAAGTGTATATGTCCCACCCTCCTAGCTATGATATTACTGGTTCCAACAAGGTTTGTATGATCAACAAGTTCTTGTATGGCTTGAAATAAAGCCAGTAGGCAATGGCATGTTAAGCTCTTTGTTGCTTTACTCTCTTTAGGCTACACACAATCTGAGGCTAATCACTCCCTTTAAACAAAGCACATTTCTCATAGTTTCACTGCATTGTTGGTGTATGTTGACAATATTGTATTAACAGGTGATTCCCTTGTGGAAATCAATAATGTTAAAACTTTTTTATACAACGGGTTCAGTATTAAGGATCTTGGTTAGTTGTGATACTTTCTTAGTCTTGAAATTGTTCGTTCTACCTCTGGCATTTTTCTTAATCAAAGAAAATATGTCTTAGAGCTCCTCGAAGATATATGTTTCCTTGGTGTTAAGCCTGCCTCTACACCTCTTGAGCCTACCTTGAAATTCTCCTCTACATATGGTGTTCTTTTAGATGATCCTTCAACATATCAAAAACTCATTGGTAGGTTATTATACCTTACTAATACACGACCTAACATTTTGTTCTCAATACAGCACCTCAACCAATATGTTGTTAATTCTTTTGTTTCTCATTACAGAGTTGTTACTCGAGTTCTCAGATATTTGAAGGCTTTCCCTGCACAAGGCATATTATTTTCCAGTTCCATACCACTAAAGTTTCATGGTTTTTCTTACTCTGATAGGACCAGATGTCCATTCTCGCAAATCTATTATTGTTGTGTTCTCCTTGGCAATTTCTTAATATCGTGGCGCTCAAAGAAGCAAAACACCATTGCTATTTCATCAACTGAGGCAGAATATCGGGCCTTGGCATCCTTAACTTGTGAAATACAATGGACATTATACATTTTTGCAGATTTCAACATCAAGTTTCCTACATTTGCATCCTTATACTGCAACAGTAAATCAACCATATATCTTTCTCATAATCCCACATTTCACGAACGCAACAAACAGATTGAACTTGACTGTCATGTTATTCGGGGGAAACTGCAGTCCAAGTTGATTCATCTACTTATAATTCCTTCTCTTTCTTAGTTGGCTGATGATTTGACCAAATCATTACATACTCTTTATTTTAACTTGTGGAGAGGTATCAACCTAATTAATTAAGTTTAAAATAATTGGTTAGAGAAACAATTAAAGGTAGTTAGATTATTTACCAATTTCCAATTTTATCCTTGTTATATATAGGTATATATACAGTCCATGTACTCATTTGTATGTATGAAAGCAAATTATTCTTCGATAGCAAAATTTCTTCTTCTTTAGTTGAGTTGAGTTTGTTTCATCAACACACTTTTATTCGAAATATAGAGATATGCACATAAAAGAATATGTAAATAATAATAGTCTCCTTTGACCTTTACACCTCAACTTCAAGTTAACAATCTTCTCTTATAGTACTTGAAAGCTTCTCTAGGATGTGGGATCCTCTTTCTCTCACTGTCTTCCACTCTACAGTGGTCTGCCTACATAGTTGTTGATTCAGGATCATATAAGGACTGAATAGTTATTGTAGATCAACAAATGTTTTTCCATCTTTCTTAGCATTGTACTTATATTTTGGTTGTCAAGGAAGTTGTTGTGAATTGATGTCATCAATAACAGAACAAAGTTATGAGAAAAAAATTGAATTTTATAAACAAACACAAGAAATCCTAATAAGTTCCATAAAGGAAAAAAGAAGAAGGAAGAAGAATAGAGAATTGGTTAAATATGTTTTACTATTCACTTTCTCAATAAGGGTTTAAAGATTACAAGTGAATACCAACAATTAACCTCTCTCATCCATCACAGATTTGCATCATATTACAAAGATGAGAGATTATCATGCTATTTATAAGAAAACTAACATACTAATTTAATGGGCTTTTACACACAGGTTCATTACAAAAGCTAACTTAGGGAACAAACTAACTTAAACAATTGGACTTACAAGTAAAACTCAATTCGCCATACTAACTTAAATTACAAATTATTAATATATTTCAACAACATGTTTGAACAGCTTCGACTACAGCATACAAAACTTTTGTCGAAATATCAAACTACCCTTATTGACACTAGAGTTCGATCCAAAATACCACAGAAACAATTGTACACTAGCCAATTTATTGAGTTAGGACTTAAGAGCCCTTGATACTGTCGCGAGAACTAAAATGTTTTTTTTTTCTACAAGAGTTATTGGCACATTTAAGAGCCCTTGGCACATTTAAAGTTGCTCACAACCGTCATGGTTTTTTGTGATATCAAGTCTACCATACAACTTGTCTTAAATTCCTCTTTACAATGCAATAACTCACAAACAACCGAAATTTAAAATGAGAAAAAAAAAATCATATATCATTACAACAGTTAAATTTTATTCCAAAATATAGTTGGTAAAATCTACAACACATTGCTCAAAGTTATTTTAAAAAAATCTACATAGACCAAAATTAAAGAAGCAGCCTAGAGAAGAAAAAGGGTTAATAAAACCCTAAAAAAACCTAAGGCAACTTCTAACAAGGCCTATAAAAAACTATCTTATAGTAAAATCATAATTCACCAGTAAAGTTCATGAAAATATTGTCACACATTAATATTATATGATTTTTCTTAAGATAGATGGATTTAAATTTTGATATTTTTGATATCTCTTGTAAGTGCTGGAATGCAACTTGAACTACGTGTAAGTCCTCCTCCTCCTTTCTTGTCCCTTGGACTAATAGACTTTGCCCTAATTTTCCCATCTAAGTTACTCTTTTTCAGCATTTCCTTCATAGCTTGAGCTTGAAACAAAACCGGAAAAGCCCTTCCATATTTGTTAAACTTAACACATGCATTCATATGTGTACTTAAAGCTTCTTCTAGTTTTTTCCCACCATTTTTCTCCAACTCTTCTTTCACTGCCTCGGAACATAGTCCGCACACGAATTTACCTTTGAATTTGCCACGAACGCGGTCTATGTACTCCGGTGTGCACTCCTCGGACATGCCACAACACTCGCACTTTGCATCTTCGACTTCGGATATCGAAGGTAGTTTTAAATTATCAATTTCTTTCGTCAGCTCGAAGGAAATATCCGAGACCGTTCTTTGAAGGTGGTCGGAATTTGAGAGTTTTGGTGGTTTGTTTGATGAGTTGTTATTGTTTTTTGAGAATGAATTTGACAACAAAGATTCTCCAAGTGGTGCCATGATCATGAATAAGAAGGATATTGAACTTTATTGTAGTAATTAAACTAGGGTTTATGAGAAAAGAATGCTATAGCTTGAAAATTATCATGGTGATTGAAGAAGGAGTGGATAAACCCTATTTATAATAGTTTGGAATATAACATTGGAAGCAATGAATGGATCTTAGAAACTCAAGTGTCATCTTCCAAAGTCGTGAACTAGCTAGATTTTTCAGGAGAGATTTAATGAGAAAACAATGACTAGTGTGGCTTTTACATTGTTTCATTTCTAAAGTGAAGTTCCATGGTTGGCATAGTTTTGTCTCGAAGAAAAAAGTGAAAAACACGTGCATCCAATGGTTCATCTACATGCATGATTTCTTTTCATGGCTTATAAATGGTGTAACTATAATAACGATGTGCCCTTCTTTTTCCTCCTCTAGTAGATTCGGGAAGAAAAAGAATATCCATAGCTAGTAATCGATTATAAAATATGTAAACTATAATCAATAATATTAATTAAGTGAATTAATTGGTTATATTGAATTATTGTTGCGTATGGTTCATATAAATAGGTTTTTTCTTAATGCACCCTATATATAATTTAGATATTAAGTAAAAATATTAAAATGATTTTTGAAGATGCATCTTGAGTCGTACTCTAAAATAAATTAAATATTATTAGAATTTGGCCTAACACAATCCTATAAAATCGGTTGGTAAGTTGAGGAATGTCACTCTATATAAATTATTTTAATGCTCTATCTCCAATCAATATGCTCTATCTTCAACTAATATGGGACTTTAAAATCTTTCTAACACACACCCTCACGCCCAGCACTCTTTTTGGGCTTGGTGCATGGATTTAAACGGTGGGTTGCACAAGGTCCGATCGATAGGCTCTGATACCATATTAGAGTTTGTCTTAACACAACCATACAAAACTGATTGGTAAGGTGAGGAGTGTCACTCTATATAAACTACTTCAATATTTTATCTCCAACTAATATGCTATATCTCCAACCAATATGAGACTATAGGATCTTCCTAACAAATACATGCGTAATTGAATCAAATCCTTATTTTGTAAAAAAAAATTAAAAATACATTTTCGAAATTTTTGATCCATATAAAGGTAATTGTTGATCACAGTGAGAAGAAAGTAGAGGTAATGGTAATGGAACACTATGACATTTTACGAAGATGCATCTTCAGATTTCGGAGATATATCTCCAGACATTTTTTTAGGCAAAATGGGGATGTCTCACCTGCAACGTCTTTGTTTGTGTGATTTTAAGTATGTTCGAAGATTATACATCTTTGAAATATAGATATCTCACCTGCATTTTTGAATTTTTATATGGTGTTTTTCAACTCCATAGGATGCGGTTAGAAATTCTCTAAATATAAAGACAGAGGATCACAATAATTTAACGTGAAACTCCATATGTATCTTATGTTTACACTACAAGAAAATATGAGACTTGCGAGGTAAATGTGGATGGAGAAAAACACATCGCAGAAGAAGAAAAAAACGTGCGAGGTAAAAATATCCCCCAACTCCTTTTTCAAAAAAAAAAACAATTTAATCAATAAAGCACCTCACAAATATTTGAGGGTAATTTTAGAATTTAAGAAGATGACATTACGAGAAATAAAAAACCTCACAATTTTTTTTTAAATTAAAATTTGTGGAGGAAGGAGAGGAGGAAAGTTGTATTAAAGTCTATTATTGAGTGGCAGAGAAAAATAACTATTTTAACCACTTTAACATTGTGATTAGCTAATTACCTTACAATATTCACGCACTGACACACCTTAGACACAGAAGTTGCAAAGTGTTTTTTATCACACAATGCACAATAGTTATATTGAGTTGCGAGGAGAATTCACATACTTTTTTTATATATTTCCGACGTGTTTTATTTCACCTTGATGTTATAAATATTGCGGTAGCCTCCTTTGATCTATAATTCTATACAATTGTCTCTTCTTCTTAAAGCTTTTTATGTGAGATACTATTTTAAATTGATTTTGGGCACATAGCGAATCCTGAACCTTAGCATATGTGTTGGACCTAGGACAATTGTGCTACTTACGATGGTTGAATAGGAATAGGGGACCCCGAGTAGTGTCATATGGAATTAATATTCCCTACATCGTCTAATCCTACTTATGCTGATGGACTAGGGATAGGAAGCTCCGAGTAGTGATTAGTAAGTTATTTTGCGAGGGACCGATTATAGCGGCTTTGATAATTCGTCGTGGGATTATAGTGATAGGATCTCATTCATACAAGACATCAAACATTAACAATAGAGAAATAGGGGATTCAATACACAATATGACCGCTTTCATAATTTTGTTTTAAAACTCTCTTCTTTTTTTTTTCGCACTGCAAACTGAATCCCCCCCCCCCTTATACATTGCACAAATTTCTCTTGTTCAAACAGAGTTCTTGTAGATTCAATCTTATTTATTAATGCTACACTATCAATACGCTTGTCGAGAAGTCATCAAATTTTTGGCGTCTTTGTCAGGGACTGTTGATTTCAAAAGGGCGGCATTTGTGCAATGTTTATTTTTTTATTTATAATTTTGTTTTCAATTGTAAATTTTATTTGTTTTTTTTTGTAATTAGTTATTTTTGTTTCTTCTAAAAGTTTCTTTTCTATTCTCTCTCTTTTTAGTTTTTTTTAATCTAGTGCAGTGCTATTAATTAAGTTATTTTTATTTTTGTTTGTATGCAAGGTCAAAACAATCATGTTAGATCATGTATATGCTACCTTTGCAAATTTTGAAGCTTATACAAAGGAACTTGCAGCAAAAACGCTCATTCTGAAAAATGCTAGTGTTGTGAATAGAATGTCTTGAAATAAAATATAAACGGTTTCTTTTATATTCAAGAAACACATAAGGGTTAGGGTTAACAAAGAAAACAAGCAAGAAGAATAAGAAGAAACAAGTCGATTGGTTATAAACTGTTATTCTTTCCTTTCTCTATTAAACAAGATTATAATTTACAAGTATACAAGAATAACAAACAACCTCTCTCTCTCTCTCTCTCTCTCTCTCTTGAATTATGATTTTATCTTCCTATTTTTTCTTATACAATATGAGAGACTAGCATGCTATATTTATAAGAAATATAGCACACTAACCTAATGGGCTTTTTAACAATTACTCATTACAAGCTAACTTAAATAATTGGTCTTACAAGCAAGGTCCAATTAAACATGCTAACAAACCTATCAATATTGACTAATGCATGTTAGAACAAACTTCGACTACAACACGCATTACTTCGACAGCATACTAGAGTTCGATCAAATATCTCACAGTTAGAAATTACTCAGACCTAGAACCTTACACTAATCATTCATGAGAGGAGGATTCATCATCTCAACTTGAAGAAACCTTGACTCAATTCAATTTCTAGAAAATCAATCGTGCGAAGTAACATGGAAAGATCCTTTGAAATTTTAGAGATGCAACTTGGTCAAGTATCTAGTCAATTAACATTAAAACTGAGATCTAGTGGGTATTTCTATGAAAATATGTTAGATAGTTCTAAAGATAAGGAAATTAAAAGAGAAGTCAAACAAGAATTTTGAAAGGGCGAGCTTAGGACCTTAAACAAGCGCTTAATGGGAAGCAACTCATCAGATAAGTTTTTATTTTATTTCAAATTTTGAATTTCAGTTTATTTCAATTAATTGTCTTTATTTTGTAGCATGCCGCATTTTGGAGCAGTAGGACAAACACTTGAGAGAAAGGGATTGAAAGAAGAAAAAGAGACTAAAAATTTTCTCTAATCCTATTTTTTTTTCTTCTAATCTCTTTGCACTTTCTAGTGTTGTTGTTGTTTTTTCAAGCAATGGGTCCAAAGTGAAGCCGCTCTTCTCGAGTATCATCATCAATCAGATGAGAGAAGAGTGAACCAAACAAAACCAAGACTTTAACAACACCATGCAAGACTTTTTCTGCTCCAATGACATGTTAATTTTAAGTTTTTTTAAATTCTGTATTAATTTATGTAATTCTCTTTTACGTCTAACAAGTCAATCTCTCAAGTAAATCTAGAATTTACAAGTTATCACTTTAGCATTGAACAAATGACCATGAAAAAAAGGATATGGTCATCATTGAAAGCAACTAAGAACTTGAAGGCAAAGGATGAGAAAATAATCAAATGACTTGTACTCAACCTTCAGATACCTCATCTAGTAAGGTTTGAGTCAAATAAATTCCAATGTTCACTTTTCTTTCTTTTTTAGTGTATTCATGCATTATTATTTTTTCTGGTTTGATCTATTTTCTATTAAGTTTATCTGGTTTGATTTACACACGCTGAGGCAGTTCTTTGTTTATAACTTTGAACTTCTGTAACCACCTTCCCACCACTTTGAGCTTAGCCTTTCTTTCGATGACGTAGCCTAAAAATAGCCATGTGACTTGAAATATTCTTTATTTCCACCCTCTCTTTGGAGTTAGGTATAAGTTTAGTCTTTAGTATGAAAAAGATTAAATTTGGGATTTCTCTTGAAAGTGAACAAAGTTCTAAGCTTGGGGTTAGGGTACTAGAGAAAATTGGTCAAATATTCAAAAAAAATTGAGAAAATAAGAATTGGAAAAATACATTTCTTAAAAAAAAGAGTAAAAATAAGGACCAAATCTCTAGTATCGTTAAAAAGGAACAAAGGGGTATGAGAATGGAAGGAGAGTTAGGCATCTAACTTTAAAGGTTTAAACCTATTTTCCTAAAAATATCCTACCCGAACATAAGTCAGGTTACAACCTGAAAAGACCTCTAATGAGTGTGGTATGATCTCTGTGATGAATTATTTTAGAATATGATCAAGCTAAGTATAATTTATTTTGCGTGTTGATTGAGAGACGACCTTATCCATTTAGTGAGTCATATTGAGCTGAGAGACAGGTTTAGTTCTTGTCAAGGTTTGAGGACATTTTTCGAATTTGTTAGATGGAAGTTGGAAGCTAGAATAATGGTCAGGTAACAAAAAATAT